GAAATGGTATTATTCCTTATACTGTACCATTTCTTCCTTCCCAAAACACTCTCCTACAATTCTTTCTCTCCTCCTTTCTGGGCAATAACGGGTATAAATTTTGATAAATGGTATACAGTTATCCATCTCCAGGCTGGGAGTTTGATGATGAATGGAATGCATTTCAAAAGCAGAGAAAGGAGGAGTACGACAAAATATATTTATATAATTGATGACCTAGAAAAGAAATATCCACCTATACTTTCAATTGTATTAGAAAAAAAATAATAAGAAAAAGGCAGTGGAAAAAATTGTCACTAGAAACAAATCACAGAGGATAAGAATTATTTTTTAAAAAATACTAGGAGGATATTACTCTTTCCAAAATATTTTTCTTACACCATTAGTTTCTCATGTGTTCAGTCATATTTGGGGCATAATACAACATTGTAATATTTATGTTTCAGGCACGCAACAACAACAACTAAAACTCAAACATTCTCTTGAGATGACAATGTTCTGTAGTAAATTTTTGAATCTGCTCTGCTTTTAAGTCAAGTTCTTGAATGTTTATTATGCCCACTTTCAAGAAATCTGACATGAACTAAGGAAGATTTTAACATGGAATTCCTGGAGTAAGCATCCGGTATCAGCCCAGAGTCACTTTGGATAGTGAGATGGGTGGCATATAAATTTAATAAAAATTATATATAAATAAATCTTTCTTACTGCATTCTACTAACCAGTAAAATCAGACTTTCTAAGCAAAAATGGCCTATAGACTTCTGATCTTCTGGAGGACTTCGGAGGATCCAGAGCAGAACAACTTCAGGAAGCAAACTATGCCCTATTTAAAATGTCATGCCATCAAAATCAAACCACGATGCTCTCCAATTTCAGGACCATAATTTTGTGATTCTGAAAAAAATGCAAAGTGGGTAGACTTGTTCAAAACATATTTAAATCTTTTGACATTGTCTAATAAACCTGTTACATGGATGAGCAATTTGTTTGGGATAAGAGCCATGTACTGAATTTAAGTGGCAAGCCAGGAGCTGAAAAAAGTAAATGGGATCAAGCTGCATATTTAATTTTATTTAAGTTTAAATAATGTTTATTAATATTACTTTCCATGCATTTGAAATCCCCTATCATAGAAGAAAGTATATAAATTTACTGGAATTTTTGAAGATGTTCCATCTAAGTCTGGTCATTGACTGTAATAAAGGACATTGATCAATTTTCTGGTTGCTTGCTAGATGTAGACTTAGATATATATAAGAATGTTCAGACTGTTTTTTTTCTGGATAACCATTTTACTTCCTACCTATTTTTTTTCTGTTAAAAAAAACATTTTCAGGAGAATTAAAGTTGACATTTTTAATTAAGAAGAAACAAGCAGGATAGACAAAGCCTCCTTGTAACTCTGATAAAATCTTAATATTTAATGAGCCATTTATATTCATGAAAGGGGAGCTAATATCCCAAAATCCCTATACTCTTTGTTCTTCCTTTTGAAAATTAATATATTTCAGTTAATAGGAAGATAAATTGTTTTGCTTATACTTTGCATTGTAAGAAACATGTACAGAAGAAATCTAGGAACTTCCAAACCAAGAGCAGACCTTGGACTCCATTTTCCCTAGAAACACAGTGCTGTTCCTTCCTTTAATAGTCTGTTTCCTTACTAAAGGAATGGATCAGAAAATCACAATACAATTTATAAAAGCAATATGCTCAAGGCACAATTTCTTTTACACATTGTCATGCAAAACCTAGCCACATTCAGAGAAATAATAGCATGCTGGTGATACAGCAACAAGAAAATAGAATGAATCTAGATGGCCTGAGAATCTGACAAAATGGGAAGTTGTAACTGGGCATCTTTATCCTTACAATAAAGGCAATATAATAAAACATGACTTTATGTTTCAATAACTCCTTCACTGCAGAATCAATTCTGTTTGAATAGAATTTTCCCCAAAGAAAATTGTTGGAAAGGCAATGATCTTGACAAATAGTTCTTCTGAATCTGGGAGTTATATATATTTTTTAGCTTAAATATCTTGCTAGCTTGAAGAAAGGGGACCAATTGTCCAGTTATGGCAGACAGAACTAATTAGCTTTCCACATCCATTCAGTTTTAGAATTCTTATTGAACCCAGCTCAATTGTTATGATATCCTCAAATGCAGTAAGGTACAGTATAAACAGGAAAAATGCTGGGTTCTTTTCCTTCTCCAGAAAAACTGCTAATATTATGGTTTCTAGCTTCTCAACACTAGGGACATCTGTATTTAAAATGTTTGCCTTCTGAGAAGAACAGAAATTAATAGCATCATTTTGAATGTTTTTTTTTACTTTATGTTAAAGCATTGTTCTGCTTCCCTAAATCACTGGAGATTCCTCCAATTTGGGTCACACAACACAACAAATTGCTTGGATTTTATTTACCACTTTTTGAGGGAAAGAAAAGAAAGAAAAAAAGAAAGAGAGGGAGAGAAAGAAAGAAAGAAAGAAAGAAAGAAAGAAAGAAAGAAAGAAAGAAAGAAAGAAAGAAAGAAAGAAAGAAAGAAAAACTTTTGGCTGTTAAAAACAGCAGACATATTTTTTTTTTACCATTAGAATTTTATTCCTCTCGCTCACCAACGGAGCTGCTTTTCACAATCATTTCTGCTTCTTTAACCCAGATTCTTCCAGCCGAGCTCACTGAGGCACTAAGTCGCCATGGGACTTGTTTGGAAGTAACACCAAGGAGCAAATGGCTTTTTGGATAATGTAACACTTGAGAAATATTCCTTGTACTTCAAAGTCAGAAGAGACCAATACAAGTTGTCAACATCTGACTTCGTGTACAAAACAGAATCACACAGAAATTCAGCCAATTGCCTCTTGCCTCAAGCAGTGATGGGAGAAAATCTCCATTCTTATTGAATTTGCTTGGTTCTAAAACTGCAGCAGGAAAATAAATAGACAACAAGCTTAAACATCTCTGCACAGAGAATCACGAAGTGGGCGTTGGCTTTTACTCTCTCCTTATTCATTCAAACTGCATGTTGCAAATATATTGAGGAAAACTGGATGTAATAATAAAACTGGAAGAAGAAATATCAGTAATTTATGCTATGCTGATAATACAGCTCTTGTTAACTAAAATGCAAATAATCTAAAAACTTTATTAATAAAAGTGAAGCCTCATACTGGAAAAAAAAAGCTAGATTAAATATAAAGAAGACCAAGCTAATAGCAGTAGATACAACAACCATCCCTAGGACTGACTATGCCAGCGGTGGCAAACCTATGGCACGCGTGCCAAAGGCGGCACTAAGAGCCCTCTCTGTGGGCATGTGCACCCGTGCCCCAGAGATGGCAACCGTCCCTCTTCAACCAGCCGCCCATTAACTCACTGAGGTCCCACGTGGCTGGATGCATCCCGGCATGGCTGGTTTCCCTCCCCCCCGTCCCGTCCCTCCTGGCCTCGCATGCTCTCCTTTTCCCGGGCACGACCCACTGCATCGCCTCCTCAGCTGTCGGCCGGCCTTCCAGCTCAGAGGCGGCTTCTCTGAACTGCTGGTGGCAGGCTGCGGAGCCCCAGAGTGCGCCAGTCGAGGGGCCGGCAGTCTGTGGCTGCTGATGGACACCGTCGGCCCCCATGCGCTCGCTGGTCTCTGTGTGCGGGGGCCGATGGTGTCAGGCAGCAGCTGCCCCGGCCCCTGCCTCACCTTGCCCTGTGACAATGACACCCCCTCCCTGTCTTGCCTCGCCTCACCCTGCAGGATGAGCCTCCTGCCCACCGCCCCACCTGCCAGAGACCCCCTGGATCTCCCCCAACCCTGCCCAGCCCCCACAGGCATCCCACCCCATAAGCAACATCGAGGTGACCATGCCCACCTTGGCCACACTCACCCAGTCTTCCATGACCACCACAGCCACGCCCACCCAGTGGGCCATGCCCACCTGGCACCCAGTGATAAATAAGTGGGTTTTGGGTTGCAGTTTGGGCACACAGTCTCTAAAAGGTTCGCCATCACTGGACTATGCAGCATTTAAGTAATAGATAGTGTCTGCCTTTTAGGATTGAATATGAATTGTAAAAGAGCTAGCAGACAAGAAATATGCAGCAGATTAGCACTTAATAGGACAGCAAGGAAAACCTTGGAAAAGATAATCAGATACTATGACATTTCTATACAAAGATCAAGGCTGTGCTAGTATGGTTTTCTCTATGACGCCCTGGACTGTAAAGAAACAGGATAGAAAGTATTGACGCTTTGTAACTTTGATGTTAGAAAACACTCATGAGAAGACCATCAGTTACCAGGAAAAAAGGAAGAAATGGCTCTTTAAAAAAATCAATCTTGAGTTCTCACTTGAGGTATAAACAACCAGGCTCAAACTATTATATTTTAGACATATGACGCAAAGTTCCCTTGAGAAATCCATAACTGTTGAGAAAAGTGGAAGGAAGGATAAGAGGAGAACCAGCAGCAAGATGGATGGGTTTGATTACAAGAGCCATGAGTGCTCCATTGACAGACCTAAAAGGCCAGGTTGCAAATAGATCATCCTTGAAAAGTTTATTTATGTGATTGCTAAAGAGTCAACACCAATTTGGCAGGACTTAATCACTTTAAAGCGTGCTGAAAGGTTGCAATATTTCTCCCTCTTTCCGAAGGTGCTAATCCAAAGTTTCTAAAAGGGGGAATGTGATAAGAGAATCAACTGGTTTTCTAAGAATAGGTTGTCATCATTGTCTGATTAATTTCATTAGAAGTCTCAAGCAGTACACTAACTGTACTGATAGCACCATAGCACTGAACAAAATTAGCAGTATTTTTTAGCCCTTATCAAGTGTGCAGAGTCCAGACAGTTTAGATAACTTCATAAAAGAAAAATAAAACCCCATTTCATTGCAACATAAAACTCTCCATCTATGTGTTTTAATCCAAGCAACAGACATCTTAACTTGTATGTGAAAAATTTCCTGCTGCAAGTGATAAATGTTTTTTTTTCCTTCCATACCTTGTTCTTAGGCTTCCTTGTTGGGGCAACCCATCATAAACAGATAAGACATCGAAATCTTCCTCTAGCGCAAAGGACTGGAAAACAAGTTGTATTCTGTTCTGTTCTTTGGCGGTGATTGTCCAGGTACAGTTTGCATAATTTGGATAGCCGTACGGGAACCCCGGACTTTGTATTGTCCCGTTTGGACCTTGCAAAATGTAACTGCAGTTTTGGGCTGAGAAGAAGAAGAAGAAATACAAAACACATTAAAAAGGGCATTCTTTTTCCAGCATTCCATATGGGCAACTCAAGAACTATTGGAGAGTAATATTAATATTAACTCCCATTTGTATGGGAGATCTTTAAATTTAGTTATTTCAAACCAATAGAATAATTGATAATCTGTGGGAACATATCCTCTATCCATCCATGACTCTGATTATATATACGATAGTAATACAAGTACAAGTGATATTTATATATGCCAAGCCATGTTTTAATCAATGCAATAATAATAAAAGAAAGTATCAATAGAAATAGGCACTTTGAGTGCAATCCCAAAACAGCTGGAGCACCAATTGAACACCATTAGCATTGACTAAGTCACCATCAGTCAAGTGCAAAAAGCAGCTTTACTTGGAACAGCATACATCCTGAAATGATACCATTTACTCATAAAACAACAATATCTGCCTATCCCAGGTCCTTGGGAAGGACTCAATAGGTGGATAAAAATGCCAAATCCAGTCTAAATGTCTGGCTGACTGGGTGATTAAGTATAATAATAACAATAAAAGAAAAGAATTAAACATAAGCATGTCTTAAAATGGAGATTGGTAACATGGAGACAAAAAAAAATTGACATGTCTCTGCCCAGAGTGCTGGTTGCTTGGGAAAGATGAAGGAGAAGAGGTAGTAGAAAAGAGAGAAACTGTTCATCAAGCATGGAAGAAAAGGAGAGAAAGGGAAACAAAACAATGGAGAAAGCAAGACCCAGAGGAAAGAGAAATAACGGTGCCAGTTGTCACTACACCAGCAAGCACTATTGTAAACACACACGCCCCTTTTCAAAAAATTACATGGAACCCCAAATAATATTTCTCTTGAAAGGAAATCCACAGATTTCTGCCTTTTGAAAGTGACTTAAGTCCAGTTCTGTGGTTGGTTACTGATATTCTGGGCTTCCTCCCTCGTAGATCTTTGACGTCCACATTGATCTCAAGAGGAGAGATTGTCTATAGCTGGATTATGCAAATGCCCATCTTTATTAGGGTGACTCCAGGAGGACTGCAGAAGACATAGTCATGCCATTAACTCAAATCAGCCAAGGGAAGCTACATGGCCTTTTACAACAGAAATGAATCACGGAGACTGATACATCAATAGCTTCCTGGGAGCTTTTTCAGTTGGAGGAATCTTGGTTGTGGCCATATCTAGTTATATGATACAACAAGATATGGTGCCTCGGACTATGTCTGAGAAAGTCAGGCTGAAATCTTCCTTTTAACAAAATGTTCAAATTGATTCTGGTTGGCCAACTTCACAGGGTAAGATGGCAAGATAAATTTGGTGGTGGGGAGAGGATTTATTCTAATTAACTCATCTTACTGCTTCATAATCATATGTTAATGATTATGATAAATTTTTTGTGTCAATCACTCCCACATGCTTATTATATGCAGCATATTTTGAAATTCAGCATCAATTCTCTTTGACAGGAAATGAGTAAGAGAATCTGGCTACCAGAAGACAGTTTTCTCTCAGTACAACATGTGCCACTTCTGCCTGTTTTGGAGAGATATAGTTAAATTATCACTTAAAAATAGGAAAATAGTTTTTTGGTTTTCAATAAATTTTGTTTTATACTGTCCAGGTACGTCCTTCACAACTTAGGCTCCTTTTGCCTGAAGAGAACTTTGAGGTGAATTTAGAGGTCCCTTATACACAAAATATGCTATATGTTTAGAAATGTGATAATAAAATAAAATAATAAAATAAAAACATAGCTTCAAAATGTGAAAGAAAGCAACACAACTTCAGAAAGACCAAATCTTTAGTAACAAATGAAAGAGGTGTAGTCACTTCCAAATTGGTCCAAAGTTCCAAACACAACCCTGAGGAGAAATTGGAAATTTGGACTCAACAGTTGAGAAGTAAAGAATATATTCTAATTAGTAAAAACTGTGGAGAAAGAAGGTACATTTTTCCTTCATCTTCAAAGGTCCAACAGAAGATGTTGGACCAGGGCTGGAGAGAAACCAGGTTCACTTCACAGAAACTCCCAGTGACTTTGGGCCAATTCTCCTCTCTCAGCCTTGCTTCACAGAGGTATTGTTGTGGAAGGAGATACCACTAAATATGCTGCCTTCAGCTCCTGAATAAAAACTGGGAAATATATTTAATTACTAGTTAAGGTAGAAATCTTGGATGGTGCTTTCAAATAATAACTTCTCTCCTCGTGAGGGCCAATAGGGTGCAGTAGTGGAGCTACAGGATTAAGACTAGGGAGACCTAGGTTCAAATCCACCCTCAGCCAGAGACACTCATTAGCTAACTTTAAGGCCCTGTCATTCTCTCAGTCCATCCTCTGCAGAGCTTCTGTGAAGATAAAATGAGGAGAAATACCTACAGTATGTAAATAGCCTTGAACTTTTGGAAAAGAGGCAAAACAGAAATCTAGCTAACAAACTCCAGGAAAACCTGTATTTTCATTTTCTCCAGGTCTCTTTGAGAGACAATGGAGCTCCCTTTCTCCCCGGCAACTTCCATCCTCCCATCAACTCCCATTTTCATGACTGTCAGAAAACACAGTGGCAATGTAAGGGCAGAGCAAGCAAAGACAGAGGAAGTAATCTGATTTCCCAACTTTTAATTTCAACCATCAGGAAATGTCAAAAAGACATGAAGATAGTAGTAATTTAGAAAGGCTATGTCGCCACAGGGATGTCACAAGTCTGCCAGATGCAGGCAGTCTCCTAATTATGTGCTTCCAAGTTCACTCTCCTCTGATATCCTAACACCAGCACAAACAACCAAACTTCTATACACTGAAACGCTAATCTTATCCCAAGGATTAGTCTTTTCACATTCATCTCTATACAACAATCAGCTTTTCTTTCTTTAACTTTAAAGAAATCAAGGTGAGCAAGGGATTTGTCTATCCCAAGCATGTGAAGACAGACTCTGGCTGATTGAGCGGATGAGACCTATTAAAATAGGACCAACGATCATGAAGGCAGTTTCTGCAAGCAACATGGTACGCTGAGAGCACGGCAAGACATGAAAGATGCCCTGGTCAACCACTGCGCCCAGCCCATCTCCAACTGTCTCAACTTTTGTCCTGCCATTGGAACAAGATGGAATCTGGGAAGAGAGAGTGAGGCTGACTATGCGCACCTCTCTTTCACTTTAATCCAATCCACGTGCAAGTCTTGACATCTTGACTTTCATAAGATGTCAAGGTCTTCATCGAAATCGATGGACAAACAACAACAACAACATTCTAGTCTTTACAAGGGATGCAACTGCCATGATTCTCTAGCCAATGAATTGCATCTGGAGGGTGTGAGTCCCTTGTGTGGTCACCAAGATTGATTCATTATGATATGTGTGAAGACACAGCACTGTTTTTCAAACACAGGACCTATTTGAAGATCATGTGAGAACTGAACATGTATGAAATACCAAGAACAGTTCACCTACTCTTCCCTCTGAGATGCAGACACCAGCATATACCCTCACTTTGGCTGGTGCCTCCCAAATACATGGTCCTAATCTGTAACCCAATCAATCAATTTGTTTATTGCTGTTGATATATGAATATCCTTGTTCACACAGCCCCCTTTTGATCAACCAGTATAGAGAAATGCAGAAATAACATTATGAAGGAATGCCAGAAGCATGACATTTCCTGACAGTTAGAACAATTAATCAGTGGAACAACTTGCCTCCAGAAGTTGTAAATGCAACACTGGAAGGTTTAAAGAAGAGACTGGACAGCCATTTGTCTGAAATGGTACAGGGTTTCCTGCCTGAGCAGGGGGTTGGACTAGAACAGGGATCCCCAACCTCCGGTCCGTGGACCAGTACCGGGCTGTGGCATGCCAGCAACCAATCCGCACAAAAAGCAAAGCCCCATCCACAGGATGCAGGCAGCACACAAAACCACAAAACTCTAGCCCACGGAAAAACTCTCTCCATGGAACCAGTCCCTGGTAGCCAAAAGGTTGGGGACCTCTGAATTAAAAGACCTCCAAGGTCCCTTCCAACTTTCTATTCTATTCTATTCTATTCTATTCTATTCTATTCTATTCTATTCTATTCTATTCTATTCTATTCTATTCTATATTTTGTAACTTTGTTATTTCTTGGCATTTTCCAGAAGAATAATTATCTGATAGGATAAGGTGTATCAGACCATGGAAGTCCGTTTTTTGCCAGTATTAGCACACTTAGCCATACACTTATTTTATTTTTTATAAACCCTGGCTCCAAACAAAGAGCACAGATTAGGCACAGATAACTTTCTTGGAAAGCCAATTTGAACTTTTTCTAGTTCCTTATATTAACATCTGGATATAACTGTGGAGTTCACCTTCACTTCAAAAAGTTTTAAAGTAATGGGTATATATTGGGTTCCTTTGAGAAAAAGAAAAAAAGGATTACTGGTGAACTCTGAGCATTCAAAGCAATCTGAGAGAAATGAGTACATTGCTTCCATAATTGGTATAGCAGAAACCCCAGGTACTGATTCAATAACTGTATGTGTCCTCTGGAGCTCCTTGCAAAATGCATGAACTTTATTTTCTCATAATTAACCTGTAATTAGTTTTCCCTATGCGCCTATCTTGCCCAAGATGTGCAGATCTAGCTCTCCAGAGGGCATTGTGGTGGGATAAAAATCAAATGCATACACTGTTGTTTCATGTTCAACAATCTGCTATCTGAATTCCACTATCATGTCACAGGAAGGGCAAAATCTCAAGATTATGTGATGCAAACCAACCATTCATTTCAGTGTGCTGAAGACATTTTTATGCTACCATGGGAAACAGTATAAGGGGGGGGGACCCTAACAGAGTACCATAATATATTTTGATTCAATACACTCAAATTATTTTATACTCATGGTCTTAGCAAAGAAGCATTTTCAAAGAGACATGTCCAAAAGAAGAATGGTTTGCTGCAGACCACAGGGGAGGGGGTATATGATTTCTTCCCCAGAGCTGACAACCA